ACAGGAGGAGGAGGAGGAGGAGGTGACAACAAGTGAAGGTAAGGGAGAGAGAGAATAATGGATCCTGAGAAGAGAGAGAGAGGAAGAGGATGAGATGGTCAAGAGGACATTGTGTATTTATCTTCTTTTTGTTTTAGATTGTTCCTCCTTCAAGAAATGATTTGTGAAATGACTATTATGATTACATTAATTTATATTTAATATTTTTAATGTCAAAATTGTATGGTTTTATCATTTATAAACAAAAATGTTAAGTGACAAAAGTATAATGATAAGTGATAGTGTGTATCTATATCTATAATGAAATTATATCTATAATTTATCTATAAATGAAAATTATGAAAGTAAAGCTAATTTAAATGTATATACCATATGTAGCTTGCATTATTTCTTAGAACCAGTTGATATCTAGAAGAAGGGGAGGATCTTAAGTGTGTGTAATGATAAAGGCATTGTACCTTATTGAAGATAATTTGTACAGGCTCTATCTGATGAAAGAAATTGTTCCACATCAGATTTTACTTTTCCAAGCTTATCAGGATAATCTTCACAAACTTGCAGAATATTTCTCCAGGTCACATTTTTATCAGAGACTAACCATCTCTGGAACACTAGTATGAGATTACTAGTAGTTGACTGTGGATTAGGTAACAGGTCATCCACTTGAACATTTAATGCAGCCCCAATGAGCATATAATGAGCATCAGAAGATTGAAATAACCTAATAAGATCACTCATTTGTGGCTTCTTTTCCAACAGGATATCTGCATATACACGAAATAACGAAACATTAATATTATGACATGAAAACATCTTGTGTGAAAAGTTGCCATAGACATAATACCTGCATTATGAGACAATGAGCTTTCCTGTTCAATAGTTGTTTCTGCAGTGGTGTCATTACCAGATATTTTAAACCTTTTACTTCTTGATGAACCATCATGACCTTCATTTTGTTTTCTTTTTCTAACCTCATCTGCAGAGATATAAATAACACGATCTGAATAAATATTTTAATTACTACCAGAGGGCTGTCCAGTTTTTATTCTGTGTGGTTTATTTCCAGTTGATTTTTTACCATATCCTTTATCTAGAGGAGAGGGAGGAGGATAATCATCATCATCAGACAAAAATCTTTGTTTTTTATTTGTTAAAACAGATTCAGAGGATTCATCTTCACTGTGTCTTCTAAGTCCCAATACACTACTAGTATTGCTTGAAGATTGTGTGTTGCCATTTGTTTCAGATAGCTCAGATAATTTAAATCTTTTATTTACTAACATTTCTCCTATTTAATTACTAAATGCTGCATTAATTGTGACATATACATGTGTACCTTGCATATCTTTCGATTGTCTTTCTCTTGCAGTATCATCATCAATATGTACTCTCTCACTAGCGTAAGATTTACTTTTAGTTTTTTTCTTGCCTAACAAAACTATTTACAAAACTATAACGCATAATTCATACCTTTTGTAATTGGTTTGCCTAATTCCTTACAAATATCAGCAGCAATGTTTCTTAATGTTATGTTATGTTGTTGATATAACACATTACAAACAGTGGTGAGATATTCAGCAGCTTCAACTGTAGGATTAGATATTATATGCTTGTGAATGAAGCTAGTGATCCTGTTGGCTTTGTCAAAGTCAGATACACCAAGAAGCGATGAAAGATCATTCTTTAAAGTTGTAGGTATTAATGATTTAGTACAAAGATCAACAGCAACATGTGTAACATCAGATGAAATTGCATCAGTAATGTTAGCCAAGTGGCTTTGAAAGATGTTTCTTGGAAGAACTGTTGCAATAAGTATAATTAACTATATAGTCAAAAAAATAATAAAATTTACTTTCATTTTCTGAAGTTGCTACAATACCAGATGGTAGATGTATTTTGCTTGTGTTTGATTTTTGAATTTTAGTATTTAGATCAACAACCTATAAAACTAAATGTAACAAACCAATAAAAATTCCAATTAGATGTACCTTTTTAGACCAGTACAATTGCTTCTCATTAAACTCCAATATTCTTCCATTCACACACTTAGTTGCTTCTTCATTAAAGTCAATCACAGCAGGATGAGGTACTGCAGTGCATGTACATGGTACTCCAAACATATGCTTTGACTTGTAAGTGTAATGGAGTGACTGTGTGACTGTGACTAGTCCTTTGTGTAATGATGACAGTAAATCACTTGTCAACAGTTTTGAGCCTTTTATTTGCTGAACCCAGACTTCAAGGTAAGTAGCATGACTGATTAAGGTAACTTTATCATGGTATTTTCCAACTTGAAAGGTAATCCTGTTACGATATTGATCATTTCCAGTTAACTTCCATTCCAATACTTGGTCTGTCTTCTGATCAAGAAGATACACTACTAGACAACAGAATACACCAACAGGAGTATACCCACACTCAAAACATATCAATAAAGGACCTGGACTAACTGACCCATCTCTCTCCTCTCTTTCTACATCTGCTGGTTTTAGAGCACAAGGCATAAAGTAATACTTGACAGTTTTTCTACCAACTTTATCTTTCATAGGGCCAGCTACAATATAAAGATGCTTTAGTAGTGCTACTAATCTTTTTGTATTAAGAGGATCACCTTTCTCTCTTGATGACATCTCATCTAGTTGTGACTCTGAAAAGTGTCCATTTTTACGAAACTCTCTCTCCACAGCAGCACTACCTAACTGTTCAAAAGAAAAGTATGTAGTGATGAGATTAGTGATACGATCAAACACCAGTTGAAGGTCAGTGATAATAATATCCTCCAGACCTTCTACTTTA